TTTTTTTCATGCAGAGATATGTATGACCAACATATTCATGTTTTATATTTTCTTTAGTAATTTTTTTTTGTTGTGAATACATCTCTCTCGGGAATTTTTCCCTCATATGGAGACACCACCAAATAATAATGAAGACAAGATGTGTTTGTGAAACACTGATGTCCCTGTATGGAAGCCTATGGCGAAGGTTGAAGTTTCTCAAATATATGTCAAACTCAAAGGTCAAGGTCAAAGGGTTCAAATTGTTGGTATCAGAAAAAAGTCTTGTCACAAGGAATGCACATGTGAAATAAGTCATCCCAGTACTTCCTGTTCAAAGGTTAATTGCCAAGGTTATATAATTTTTTAAGTGGTTCAAACTCTAAGGTCAAGGTCAAACATATTTATAACTGTTGACAGTTCACAATGAATACACATGTTAAGCATGAAAGCCCTAGCACCTACTGATCAAAATTTAGGCCAAGTTTAAAGTTCGGTATTTTTCTTGTAAAAATGTGTATTCTAGGTCAAGTGATCAGAGGTAAAAATTAATGTTACCCAAATAAAAGGTCTTAATTGTCACAAGAAATAAACCTATAAAATGTGGAAGCCATTTGTATAGCCCATCCCACTTAAAACTTATGGGCAAGGTTATAATTTCTGCAGACAAATAGACAGGCATAATATAAACACAAGAAACAAAATATGTACATAATTTGTCAAATGGAAAAAATATACTATTTAATTGGAATCACAAAATAGATTGTTATTTCAGGGATAGGGAGTAGGTAGGGAGATTGGACCCCCCCCCTGGAATTTCCTTTGTTATTTAAACAAGACTATATACTGAAGCAAATAAAAAATGACTTTGGACATCCTCCCCCTAACTTAGATAACATTGACCCCACTATCATTGTTTTTATTTTGTTTATTTGTTTTCAGTTTATGAGTTTTTTTTTTTCTCCTGCTTGTCAGGAAATTCTAGGCATGAATTTTTTGACTGAGATGTGAACCCCCCTCCCTACTCCCGAAAAAAAATTCTGGATCCGCACCAGTATTGGCAGTAACTGAATGTCACATCGACAAGGGGAGATAACTTCACAATATGAAATTCGTCTAGTGTGGCATGCGATGATCTTTGACCCTTTTTGAACTTTAACCTAATCGTTTGGGTTTATTTTACCCCCCACTATACTTAAACTTGTACTTACCGAGGTCTTGTAAACTTCATGAAATATAAATCCATTTTATATAACACAAAATGAATTAATCCAATGCACACCATTCTGCAGCATGTTATAATGCTATTCCATTCGGAAAACCTTCGTGCGGTCGATTCCGTCACCTTATCAGATGAAGTGGGAATCGGCCGAGGTGTACCGAATGGAGTTTAATCTGAAAATATGATAATGGGTGACGCAACGTGATGTGATGTAGAATTTACATGTCAAGAACAAATTTTGAATTAATTCATAACAAACAATGTTTTAACAAAACTGTTCCATCTAGCCTATTCCAAAAAGTATGTACTGTGTGATTGTGGTGTCGAGGGGGGGGGGGGGGATTAGTAAATTTAAAAAGGTCCTATTATGAGCAAAACATTTATCAAAATCTAATTTACATCATTAATAAAATTCAAACTGGTATAAAATGAATTAAGCATGTAAAATAAATATAAGAGGTTCTGAGTTATAGGTCACAGGGATAATTTCATACTCAATTTGATGAATACATATAAATTACAGGCACGTAGCAACCGGGGGGGGGGGGGCTGGCCCCCCCTTTTTTCCCAACATTACCTGTACTATAAGAAAATGTCCATTGAAAAGATGGTGCCCCCCCCCCACTTTTTACCACAGTATATACATAGCAAGGAAATATGGGGAAAAATTGGAAGTGAAAGTAATTTTGCCTTGAAAAAAAGGTGGCCACCACCCCCCCCCCCCCCCATTTCATTTTTTTTTCCTTGTTAATTTTTTTAGGTAAGTAAAAAAAAATTCTCAGGTTGGCCCCCCCTCTTTCAAAAACGATGCTACGCGCCCGAATTATTTAAGGAATGACTCTAATTCTTGGCCAAATTTTCGAGTATAATATGGTTTGGGTCAGTTTACGCTTTATTATCCGCGAAGCTGTTTGAAGTTAAAGGTACATTCATTAAATCTGGAATTTTCCATGAATCCCAAGGACTGGAAATGAGGGGATTGATGGATACAGATGATTCAGCTGGTTGTCAAGGGGGTGTGTCCCCATACCAAACCAGATTATACAAAATGTTATGCGTTCCTTTTTGGAAATCAACCAATGAGAGGCAAGAATACAAACAAAATTAAATTATATAGAATTATTTTGACTTTTTCCTTGGTAAGCCACCCGTAGGATTGTGTATTTAGAGGCAAACACCTTAGTGCGGGTATTACTGTCTCATGACAGCATCTAGTTGTACATTACTTTTTTTTATTCATCTGTCTAATTAATTAAAAATGAAATTTAAAGGCTCAAATAAGGTCTATTTTCCATCATTTTGATTAGAACAAGTTCTTTAATCTATTTTTCTCATATAGAAATAGGCATTTAATGTCATACGCAATGTAGTTTGCAGTTTATTGGGTTCTTCCCTGGGGTTGAAGAGCTCCACTAAATGAAGATCCTGTGTGCAATATTGTTATTGTCTATACATGGATTTGTAAATCTCTTCTAAAACAAATTTGATGAAAAAAATCTGGAATTTTATATGTTTTGTAATTTTTGTAAATTTTTCTTTGAATAATGCAAAAGTTTTCAATCTGTCCAAAATCCATGGAAATGTATGCTGATTTTTTGTCTAAATTTTAAAATATGTAATATGTTAGACCGTACATATATCATAAGTTTAAATTTAGAATATCTTGAAAAATTATCAGTAGGTAAGGTACCTTGCGTACGTCCTTAAATGTAAAATGAAGGGATGTGTACCTCTATTCAATTAACTGGGGAGCTCATGAGGCTGAAACTTATGTGGAAGCATCAAGGGGTAGTGAAGATTCTAAATTGTTCAAATCATGAACTCTTGGGGTTGGGCGGAGCCACAATGGGGAATCAAAGTTTTACATAGAAATATATAGGAAAAATCTTTAAAAATCTTCTTCTCAAGAACCACTGGGCCAGAAAAGCTGAAACTTATGTGGAAGCATCCTGATATAGTATAGATTCTAAATTTATTTTAAATGTTGACTCCAGGGGTAGGGTGAGGCCACAATGGGGAATCAAAGTTTTACATAGAAATATATGGGAAAAATCATTGAAAATCTACTACTCAAGAACCACTGGGCCAGAAAAGCTGAAACTTATGTGGAAGTATCCTGGGGTAGTGTAGATTCTAAATTATGCAAATCATGACCTCTGGGGTTGGGCAGGGTGATATTGAGGGAATCAAAGTACCCCTCGGGGTAGGATGGGGCCACAATGAAGAATCAAAGTTTTACAATGGGGAATCAAAGCATCATATGGTAGTGTATATTTCAAATTGTCTAAATATGTCACAATATGTATTACAAGTGGGAAATCTGGTAAGGAGTGGAATGGTCAAAGCTTCTCAGGTGAGCGATGTGGCCCATTGTTTTGCAATTGATGTAAGAATTTCGAAGAATTAATGCAAAATTGAGCGATTTTTTCTTTGAGTGCAATAAATATACAGTTTTTTCACTGGGTGGTACTGTAGCTCTCTAGTCTGTCAACATATATTTTTTCGAAGAGCTACAGTTCTGCAGCTCCATTAGTGTAAAATATTTGAATTTAAGTTCATATATTACAGTATATTGATAATTATAACGGCATCTGTGGCGTAGTGCATCGGACTGACAATCGGAGTTCGCTCCCCGGTGTGGGCGCAGTCAGTTTTTCCTCTGAAAATGAAGTTGTACACCATTTCGGCATAGTATGCTTATGATGTTTAAATAAGTAGAACACAATGCAAGAAAAGTAGAGTAGGGGTATATATGTAGATCTAGACAAGCTGACAGGAAGCCTAATAATTGACAATATGCATTTATGACAAGAAAATTGAAAATCTTCCTGAAAGAAGTTGAATAAATTTAAGCCACTGAAGTTAACCAATCTACACAGGCAACTTAGCCACATATGATTCTCATTTGAGTATCATATGATTCTCATATGATTGGTTTCATATGAGAATCATAGAAAAAGGGCATCATATGTGAATCATATGAAACAAATCATATGATTTACATATGATCCACATATGTGAATCATATGAAAATAACTACATATGATTTTCATATGAATGATTTCAGTGTGTTTCAAGCCATTTACATATGAGAATCATATGAAAAGGGCATCATATGTAAATCATATGAAACACTTATGTGTGTTTCAAGCCATTTACGTATGAGAATCATATGAAAAAGACATCATATGTAAATCATATGAAACACTTGTGTGTTCTTTTTCAATATTTTTCACATTCTTGTACACATTTAAAAATGAGATATTTCTGCTTTAGATGAAAATTCATTACACTGCAATGATCTATCGTCATTGGTTAAATATTTTAAAATATCTTAAAATGCTTACACAACTTTTTTGATAAAATTATTTTCATCAAGAGAAATAACTTATTTTTCACAGTGTACATTCTAAACAAGAAAATAAACAAACAAGTCAGTAGGATTTCTCGATACATGTATTAAACATATTCTAACATGAGTACAAATTATAAGATCTTAGCAAAATGATTTAGTAGTTAAACTTGTATATTGTACATGTACAAATGAATAACATACTTAGGTAATGTATAAAAATACCATATGACATGAAAGTGTCCAAAGCAACATTGAAATATCAGCAATAACATTTATCATGTATTCTCTATTGTAAATTTATGAAAAATCAAGTTAATGATTATTCCAGCATACAATATGGGAAATCTTCACAGGTCAAATTCAGACTTCTGTATCTTTCAGTTTTTTTCAGTTGTCCTCCCTTTGATCTTCCATGACCATTTTGAAAATCTCTTTGAACTGTTACGTACCAAAAATGAACATCCACCTCTTCTCCTTTTCCTGAACAATTTCTTTGTGGCACAGAATGGTCTCTACAAAAATTTCAAAAGTAAAAATAAAATAATTCTTAAATTATATGAGTTATTAAAGTTACTTAGGTATAATCAGCAAACAAATGTATGCCCAATTCACTGACACAGATATTATACAAAATAAAACTAATGTTATATATGTTATACTAGATGTTTTGAGGAATCCTATTATCAATGTAATTTGCAAAACAATTACACTATTGAAAGATATGCTTCACAATAAAATCATAAAAAGCATTTTTTTTTTGTTATTTAGACAATTATATTTGGAATGTTCAAACAGTATATATTAATTCAGATTGTCAAAAAATTAAAAAAGATTCTGATACAGATACATGTATATTATTTTTGGACAAAAAATACTACAGACAAGTAGACAGGCAGAAAAACAGACATTGTGATTCCAAGATATCCCAAACTTTTGGGAAGACTATAACAAAGTTTATTTAACAGTGTGTAGTTACCTTAGCTTTGAAGCAAGCCTTGGATCTTGGGATTTGTTCTTTATCTTATGAGAGGCTGACTGTATATTAAACCTGTAAGACAAATACTAACAGTCTCACACAGTAGATATTTTCTAAGAATACATTTAATTAAAACTTAAACTATCAAAAGGAGAGAGTACAAGTTTGTATAGGTTCTCTATAGTCTTAAATATATCTAACATTTAACCCGAAACTATAGGCACGCACACCATTCACTAGTGTTGGGGGGAAAAATAATTGTTAGTAAATGAATACATAGATGTAAATATTCAATGGATTAGCTAGCTGATGTTCTTTCAACACACATCTATGCACGTGTATTCATACCTTTAAAGTTGGATGTCACTGTTATAAATTTTTAGTTGAAATTCAAAAATCCAATTTATCCCCCCTTTCCCGGGCTTTCCCAACAAATTTATTGTATACTGTATAGTTTTATAGCCTTTACAGCCAGTAAAATCTATTCATAATTTGCATATTTTAAGTGCACTGGATTAAAATTATAATGTAGAATAAAATTTCTAGAGTATTGAGTTGAGTTGAATTTATTTTTGATGAAGCCATGCAAACAATGTAGAATTATAAAAGAACAAAAAGAAATTAGCAAGAAATATTTTGTCATAAAGAGACATTACAGATACTTTGATTTTTTATTTCAAGTATTTATTTTTACCTTCAATATTGTGATGATGCAATCGTCTGCCAAATCAGCTTCAGAACCACTCGCCAGTCTTATCAGCTTCGGGCTCTGGACTGAAAAAAACAGCACTGTGACACTGAACTCAAGTTGCCGAATGCATCTATAGGCCATAAAAACAAACATTTGTCATTAAGTTTAAGAAGGAATCCGGACTTGATAACGATCTCAACATACATAACGCCAACTGACATACAAGGTTTCTACTTTCACTTTCCTATCAGTACGTAACAAAACGAAAACAAATTCAAGTTTTAAAAAAGTAGTAATGCCTTTAGCCTAACATGTAATGTTTACATTCATTCAGAAACAAATTTTATCCAAACTTACTTACAGATCACGAACGTTAGGTTTACGAAATACATTGATTTAACAATTACATGCATGATGCAAGTGATAAGAGTATATAGAGAGTTCATACGCACCTGTAACAATAATGAAATGATATTTAAACAATATGAATCAAAATATTATTGTTAGGAGATCACTTGCCTTTTCCAAACACCCAACACGTCTGCTGCAGCAGTGACGTCAAAATTGACGTATATTTTCATCCAATAAAAGACAAAACCGGCCCGGAGAAAAATACGGTATTTTTAGCTCACCTGAGCCAAAGGCTCAAGTGAGCTTTTCTGATCAAAATTTGTCCGTTGTCTGTCGTTGTCGTCGTTGTCGTTGTCGTCGTTGTCGTCGTCGTTGTCGTTGTTGTTGTAAACTTTTCACATTTTCATCTTCGTCTCAAGAACCACTGGGCCAATTTCAACCAAACTTAGTACAAAGTATCCTTGGGTGAAGGGGATTCAAGTTTGTTCAAATGAAGGGCTAGGCCCTTTTCCAAGGGGAGATAATTATAAATTAGAGAAAAATTAATAGCATTTTTAAAAAATCTTCTTCTCAAGAACCACTGGGCCAGGAAAGATAAAAATCATGTGGAATCATCCTCAGGTAGTGTAGATTCAAATTTGTTCAAATCATGACCCCCGGGGGTAGGGTGGGGCCAAAATGGCCGATCAAAGTTTTACATAGGAATATATAGAAAAAATCTTTAAAAATCTTCTTCTCAAGAACCACTGGGCCAGGAAAGATGAAACTCATGTGGGGTCATCCTCAGGTAGTGTAGATTCACGTTTGTTCAAATCATGACCCCCGGGGGAAGGGTGGGGCCAAAATGGCATATCAAAGTTTTACATAGGAATATATAGGAAAAATCTTTAAAAATCTTCTTCTCAAGTACCATTGGCTGACTGGGCCAGAAAAGATTAAACTCGTGGAATCATCCTCAGGTAGTGAAGATTCAAGTTTGTTCAAATCATGACCCCCGGGGGTAGGGTGGGGCCAAAATGGCGGATCAAAGTTTTACATAGGAACATATAGGGAAACCTTTTAAAATCTTCTTTTCAAGTACTTCAAAGCTAGGCTTTGTTATATTTATAGGGAATCATCCTCAGGTAGTGTAGATTAAAGTTTGTTGTTTTTTCAAATCATAACCCCCTGGGGGGGGGTGAAAATTCAAGCGTGCCCCCCCACCCCCCCAGATTACTTTCAGTTCTGATCTGATCTATGTTTTTTCCTAGCCAATTGCTCAGGTGAGCGATGTGGCCCCTGGGCCTCTTGTTATAATTTTTCTTAGCCAAACCCAAAAGATTTAAAATGAAAAGCAAATTAATTTATTCTATATCTTTTTTGTTTGGGAAATGCATTATAACAGAAAAAAAATTGTGAAAGGTTTTTTTTAGAAGGAAAGGGGGGGGGGGGTAAACAGAATAGAACTTTACATATAATTAATTACTAACAAATTCTTTTGAATAAATGTACATTTAAATTTATCTTTTGATATATATTGTTGAAATTGCAATTTTACTTCAGTATAACAAGGACAGATAAGTGAACACTGTTTCATATGATTCTCATATGATCACTGTTTCATATGATTCTCATATGATCACAGTCAAAACATTCGTATGAATTTTACCTGAGTATAACAAGGACAAATAAGTGAACATTGTTTCATATGATTCTCATATGTTCAGTTTTATATGATTCTCATATGATTATTGTCAGAATATTCATATGATTCTCATATGCAGGATCTTTCATATGAGAATCATATGTATATTACTTCATATGATTCACATATGTATGATCATATGATTCTCATATGATTGGCCACATATGATTCTCATATGAGTGTATATACATATGATTCTCATATGATCCACATATGATCTTCATATGAAAGGCAATGCATATGTGGATCATATGTGGCTAAATTGCCTATGTAGTTAAAATAAGATGTTAGATCCACTCATAGTCACTACAGTCAGTTTAGCGAGTATGCGTGCGGGTCAAACATCTTATTCAAATTACATGTAGATTGCTTAGGTAAAAGTTTAATACTCAGATTTTGTATGATATCATTGTGCTATATTTGCATCTGCTTGGGTATTAACTGTGGTTTGGTCCTCTTCTTTTATGTTTTATGGGGTGTCTAAAATCAAGGTGCATGCTGACGTTAAACAAAGAAGAAACTTGCAAAGGCTTAAGGTGACTTGACTACAGTTGAATCCAAAGTCAATGGTGCTTAATTCTTATATATACCAAAAAATAATAAGTAAATGATCAGCATAGTACATTTACTAAAGAAGTAACAGAATTAAGGAAGACTTGTTTTCTTCCGGATGATATGAAGCAATGAGTAGAGTACCACCTCAAATATTCTGGATCCATGCCCTTTCATCTTTTTTTTATTTTCGAACGGGTTCAATAAACTGTCAAAAATTCTTGATATGTTTCTAAGGTGTAGGTAGAAAGTTTTGAAATTAGTGAAAAGGTTGTTAATTTTTTTTTTATGCAAACTACCAATAAATGTGCATAATGATTGAAGATGGCTGATTTTTTTTCCAAACATTATTTTCTGTACATTTGTCAGATCGGGTTCGTTGTGTGTAAATTCATTTCCAGCTGTCATTGGAACAAAACAAGGCATGATCAGGATCAAGAAAATTTAAAGTAAAAATTAGGTAAATTATTACAGTTTGTGCATCTGAATAAGTTTTAAAACTCTCTAAGAATCTCAGAGTGACTGATATGACCCAATTTCATGGGATTTTTTTTTTATTGGAAACCTACCAGTTTCGTGCAACAAACAGGCAAAGATCTAACAACGTGATCAGGTTGCAAAGCTTGACAAATGGCACATATGCAATAAATTAACCTAAATGATTAGGAGGAAAATAAACAGAAAAAGATTTGTTCATTCTTAATTGCATTTTTTATTTTTCCCAATCAAAAGAATAAAATAAGGTAATCTACATACAAGGGAAATATGCTTTTTTACTTACAAGAAAAAAAAAAAACCCTGAAAATTATAGAGATAAACCACTTTTGATTTTAATGCTATTTCATGTAAAATCTTGAATCATTGAAAAAATTAAACATTACCCCAAAATTGTTAATTTTAAGAAATGAAAAAAATAGTTTAGGAAACATATAACTTAAAAGTTAAATGAAAGTGAATAATTAATAGTTGTTCATCTGTTCAATAGTTTCTCTATTTGGTTTAAAACTATTGTTTCTTTATCCCATGGGAGAATTTTTATCTATTTTGAAATGAATATGGGATAAATCCCACATTTATAAAGAGATGGAATATTATTTTCTATAAACAAGTATATGGGATATTTTGTCCCATTATAAAGCATTTATGGGATTTTTAAACTTCTATGGGAGAAAAAATCCCACAGAATACATTTTTCACCCACAGAATAATGGTGGGATATTGGTTAGGAGAAAAAAATCCCACCATTATCCCATGGGATTTCTTGATTTCAGGTGTAATATCTTTTTACCTAGAAGATAATCAGGTGTAAATTTTGGTTCATGTGATAAGTTTTTAAAAATCCCATCAGATGACATAAATGATTTCCACATATCTTTGGAAAAGTGGTTGGCAAAACTCCGGACAAATGTCGTGTCCGGAGTTTAATGTTGCACTGTTTTAATAATTTTCCAGTTTTTGATACCGGGTTAAATGTAAATTCCAACATATGATGAAAAGTTTGACTTATTATCAAAAGTATTTCAAAAATTATATTGGTTTATTTTTATTTGCTCTCAGTTTATGATCTTAGGGCCTATGTAATGAAAGACACAGTCATATATTACCTATACATATTATTGTGTAGATTAACCATTACTTTGCTGCAGTTGAGAAAGGAAAATAAACCAGAATATTTTTTTCTTTGTTAATACTAAGAACCAACATACATGTACCGGTTCCATCATCTTAAAAATATGTATTGCATGTTATATTTATGAATAAAAACATTGGATTCAAAGCATCTTTTTATTTATTGCTAGTTTGTTGTTTTTCGTCCCATTCAAGAATTTTGCACTCAAATTCAGACGCCACCATATACCTTTACCCGGTAATCAGGGTCACTGACTAGTGAAGGACATTGTTCAGCCGATACTCATGGAGACACATGACATGAGTTTATACAGTCTCACGACTTCCATCTAAAGGACACGTCCCATTTTGGGATTCGATCACCCGCGAGATAAGAAATAGCTAGCTACTTATCTTAATATAACATTAATCATGGCTTTTGTTAGATCCTTCTTGTCAATTCCTTCAAATATTTCTGTATCTGCCAGTGCTAATAAAATATCTATTTTGTTCTTCCATTCAGGTTGTTGACTGTTGGTTGTTACTTGGTTGTTGATGGTAAATTCTCCGGTGGTCATCCATTTGGGTCTTTTTCTGGGTCTTAATGGTCTCATTGGTCTAACAGGTGCTCTTGCATCTCCCGTCGCTTCAGTTTCTCTATGTTCTGTCTCTTCTTCATTGGTCACTACCGGTAGTGTTTCCTTGGGTTCAGTATGATGAACTTCTCCTGATTCTGTTTGATCGGTGGTATCTTCAATCTCTTGTACTCTGTCTTCATGACTTGTACTGTGCTCGAGCTCTATTCTTCCTGCATCTTTTGATGCATGACCTTGTCCTTGGTTTTCTATCACAGTAGAACTGTCTGTCCTTTGTCCTGTTTGTGATTTCTGGGTATCAACTGTACCAGTGTTGTGTTTTACAACCACTACTGATTCCGTCACAAATTCATCCTCAGACTCACTGCTGTCACTCTCCGTTTGTTGTTTCTGTTGTTTATAAGGTCTGGTTTTGATTCGGCGTGGTGCTAGTTTTAGCTTCAACAATTCTTGCTCTGGGGTGTCAATATTCTGGAATGGTAACAGTAAATTTCTGTGTAATGTTCTTGTTCTTTCTCCATTGCTGACTATGAATACTGGGATGGATGGGTTAGGTTGGTCTACTACATCATATGGTGTTTCTTCCCATTTATCGGACAGTTTGTGTTTTCCTTCGAATGCGACTCTCTTTATTAAAACTTTATCTCTTGGTCTTATTTCTGCGTTTCTGGCTTTTAGGTTATATTGATGTTTCTGTTTCTGTTGTGACTTCTTGATAAACTGCTCAGCAACTCTGTAAGATTCCTTTAAGTTTGTTTTCAGGTTCTCAATGTACTGATCCATTGTATTGTCTTCTGAAGAATCGGGTAAGCTAAATATGACGTCTGCAGGTAATTTTGGTTCTCTGCCAAACATTAAGTAGAAAGGTGAAAATCCCGTAGAGTCCTGTCTTGTTGAATTGTAGTCATGTACTATTGATGAGATGTAAGTTTTCCAGTCTGCTTTTTGAGTTGTTTCCAGAGTTTCTAACATTTTAAGAAGTGTTCTATTGAACCGTTCGCAAACTCCATTCCCCATTGGGTGATATGGTGTTGTCCTGCTTTTCTTGATGTCCATAATTTTACAAAGTTCCGAAATGATTTGTGATTCGAATTGAGGACCTTGGTCGCTATGAATTTTGTTTGGAATTCCATAGTGAAGAATAAAATGTTGAAATAATGTTTCTGCGGTGGTTTTGGCTGTTTGATTCTTAGTCGGAATGGCTTGTGCAAATTTGGTGAAATGGTCAGTAATTACGAGTATGCTGTTGTATCCTCCTTTCGATGTTTCAAGGGTAAGATAATCCATGCAAAGAATTTCTAATGGGTGATGAGATGTTATGTTCACTAGTGGGGCTCTTTCTGTTGTGGATTTCCTCAAGATACATCTTTTGCAGTTTCTTATGAAATACTCGATGTCGTTTCCCATGCCTCTCCAGCAAAATCTGTCTCTTATCAGAGCATTTGTTTTGTCTCGTCCTGGATGACCCATGTTGGTATGTAGAAGTTTCAATGCCAGTCTGGTACATGAATGAGATAAAATAGTTTGTACTTTCCTCCTGTTGATTTCTGTTGTTTGTTTAACTAAAATGCCATCTTGGATCTTGAGTCTTTCAAAATTTCTGTGGAAAAATAGATGGTCTTTATAATTTGTCATTGGTAGTTGAAATTTCTGTGGTTTGGTCTGATATCTTACGTTGTGGTACCAAAATCTGATGACTGGGTCTCTGCATTGTTGTTGTTTGAAATCAATTTCTGAATGGTCTGGCAGTGTTGGTAGATTGTTGTCTATGACTTCAGGTGAAACGAAAATTGATTCTATCAGTGGAACCTGATTCATATTGGAGATGGCTTTAATCGTATCAATTGGAATTCTTGATAATCCATCAGCATCAGCATTCTGAGATCCTGGTCTGTAGTAGATATCGAATTCGAAATTGGATAGTGCCGCAGTCCAGCGTTGGCTAGTGGCACCCAGTGTAGCTGATGAGAGAACATAAGTCAATGGGTTGTTATCAGTTATAACGGTGAACTTATTTCCGTACATATAGTCATGAAACTTCTCGGTGATAGCCCATTTGACAGCTAAAAATTCGAGTTTGTGTACTGGATAGTTTCTTTCTGATTTTGATAGTCCTCTGCTGGCATAAGCAATTACTATCTTGTTGTTGTCCTGAGTTTGGTAAAGTACGGCTCCTAAGCTGGTAGCAGATGCATCCGTGTGTAGTTCAAACGGTAATGAAAAATCTGGGTATCCAAGTATTGGGTAAGATGTCAATTTCTTTTTCAAATTGTGAATGATTCTTCTTGCTCTTTGTTCCATTTCCATTTAGCGGGTAGTTCTTGTAATGTTCCTTTTCGCTTAGTTTTTCTGTTTCCTTCCGGCATAAGGTCTGTCAAGGGTTTCGCTATCTTTGAGAATCCTTCAATAAATCTTCTATAGTACCCCACGAATCCTAAGAATTGTCGTACTTGGTCTGGGTTTTGTGGGTTGGCCAATCTATTACCTTCTTGATCTTGTCAGGGTCTGGTTCTATTCCATTTTCTGATATGATGTTTCCTATGTACTTCACTTTCCTTCTGAAAAATTCACATTTCTTGGTGGTTAATTTCAGGTTTACCTCCCTTAGTCTTTTGAATACTTTTTCTAACCTCTCTAGGTGTTCTTCATAAGTTTTGGAAAAGATGATCAAATCGTCTAGGTAGATGTAACAAATTTCTAGATGTAATCCTTCAAAACAGTCTTCCATAAATCTTTGATATGTTGCTGGTGCATTTACGAGTCCAAAAGGAAGTCTGTTTAATTCGAAAAATCCAAGCGGGCCAACAGTAAAAGCTGTCCTTTCCTTATATTGTTCAAATAGTTCGATCTGGTGGTATCCGCTTTTCATATCCAGAATGGTGAAATACTTGTTACCTGCTAATGCATCTAGGATTTCCTCAATTCTTGGCACTGCATAAGAATCTTTCTTGGTCTTGAGATTAAGTTGACGATAGTCGATGCACATACGCAACGGGCCGTTCTTTTTCCTGCATAACACAACATTGCTGGGCCATGGAGACTTGGATCTTCTGATTATTCCAGCTGAAAGTAATTGGTCTAGATGTTGTCTCACTTCTTTGAACATTGATGGTGGAATTCGACGAGCTTTCTGTTTGAATGGTTCAGGATCCAGAAGTTCAATTTGATGTTTAACTTATGTTGAATGGCCAATATCTGTGTCAGATTTTGAAAAGATGTAAGAGTATTTGTTGATTAAGTTTTGTCCTTCTTGAATCTGATTCCATGTTAAGTTGTTTTCATCAATGTTAAGCATCTGTGTCCACTCATTGTCATCTGTGGTGTTGGTAGAAAAACAATGTTGTTCATTCTCAATCGTCACAGGCTGCAGTTCGCATAGGACTGACTTTGGTTGAACACTGACGGTACGAGTAGTTATGTTGTCAATGTAGATTTTCACAAGATTCCTCATCGGATATTGGTAGTTGATAATTGTTGGTGCAATTTCTAAGTCAGATGGGATTACTGATGTTTTTGTTGGTTGTAGTAAGGCTGCTGTGGGTTGATGAGACATTGCCTTGTCTATATAGCCTGTCAAAGTCATGCTGGTATTGGGATGGATGAGGATACATTTGTTTTCGGCTGATTTAACGATTCCAATTCTGTTGTTGTTTCTTTTTAAATCTTTCTGCAGTAAAACCATGCTTCGGAATGTTAAATACCATGGTGTATGTAGTCGAGCTCTTTGAAGAAAATTTTGACCATGTTGTTCCTGTAAATCATTGAGTAGATGGTGAAGAATGTTGGTACCAAATAGTATAGGAACATTTCTGTTGTAGTTGTTGTCTGGGACTACGAGTAAAGGGAAATCTGTCAAGTTGTTAGAATGTGGTAGTCCTTTTGCTGACATAGTTACTTCAATGTATCCATGGTATGGGAACCGTTCTCCATTAGCACATTCTATGGAAATAAAGTCTGAGATAGGATGCAGTTGTAGATGTCCTAAATGTTCTCTATAAAATGTTTCACTAATTGTTGACACGGTGGATCCAGTGTCTAAAAGTGCTTTCGTGATTTGATTCTCAATCTGTATCTCAACCTCTGTTGTTTCTCCCACTAGATGAGTGTCAGTTATGGGGCTCCTCGACGGTAGACCGGACGTGTGCCCCTTGACGGCGGTCTGCTGTAGTTTAAATGTCGGCGATGGTCAAGAAGTACCCTACAGCCCTGTGCCATATGTCCATACTGTCCACATCTAAAGCACTGTATATACGATCTCCTCTGGCCTCTTCCTTGATACTGATAGCATTGTCGATTATCATATCTCTCTCTGTACTGCACACTTTGTTCATCCTCATATCTCTTTCCATCTCTACTTCTGTTTACATCTGTATTCACTGGTTTATCTCTTCTATTTCTAGCATAGTCTTTCTTTTCCGTTTCCATCTTTCTTAATCTTGCATTCATCTGCTGAACTAATCCCTTAAGGTTTGAATCACTTTCATCCTCACGATTGTCTTGATCCTGATAATTCGCAGTTATAGCCATTGTTGTTGTTGTTTTACGATTCTCGTGTTCCTTCTCTATGAGTCTAACTTCCTTTCTGAGATCATCAAAGTCCTTTATGGTATCATACTTATATCCGGTTATGTCCTTCAGCCATTGTTGTAATCCGTTCCAAAATCTTGATCGAAGTTTTTCATTTCTCTCACTTTCCTGAACTATTCCCTTCATCAAAGCCTTCCTGAAAATTTCTTCGAGTCTACAACTCCACACGATGCTATCCTCGCACTTCTTTTGACTTGTTCTATAAAATTCTTTCATGATGTTTTCTCCTCTTTCCATACTTCCAAATATATTATCAAGTTTATGTAACATCTGCTGGACTGATGCATCTGGGCCAAGCTGCATAATGGCTTTACTTGCCTCACTTCTTAGTGATCGTCTAATGGCTTGCGCTATTGTTGCTTCACTGTATTGTGCTTTAATCAGACATTCCACCTCATAATACCATACGTCGTAGTTGTCTTCCTTCCTTCCATCTCCCATGAACACTGATATTTTTGGAACATAATTTGTTGTTGTTTTGGTGGTGGAGGTTGTCACTGTTGAGCTTGTGGTGCTACCTGTCTCTGTTTTCACAGGCATGTTTGCAACGTAGCCTATCATCCAATCTGTAAAGTCCTGAGTAGTGTCGGCTTTCGGTTTGACTTTCAAATCCTTGAACACATTTGCGATGTTTTCAAGTTCATCCGTAGTGAATTCGACTGACATGTTTGTTGATTTCTTGTAGTGTACTTGAGTAAAACTATATACTAGTTCTTAATTGCTAATCTTAACTAGGATACTAATCTAATGATAAATAAATATCTAATTAACTAATTTAACTAAACCTGAAAAAGATTTATAAGAATTATCCTGAAAAAAAAATAATGTGATTTAAATCTAATTTAACTACATAATTCTAATCCAATCTCTTAACTAAAAATTTCTAAACTAAATATCAAACCTCTTAAGCTGTAGTTGTAATCTTCAGATGGCAACGTCAAAATGCACGAAATAACCCGAAGTACAAACAATATAAATTCAAATAGCAAATGTCAAATGATAATAATATGGGATCAGGAAATTGTTTTCAAATTCAAATATGCTCAGTGGTTTACACCAATATAATCAAACTGAATCAAGTGGTTTAAAGAAGAAGCAATCAAAGACAGACAAACTTCTGCAGGAATGTACCAGTATCTTTTGACTACAGACAAATGTTTTGATCAGATGAAAATACAACTAACTTTAACCACAGACTCAAAGTCTCAATACCAACTGACAACAACAGACATTTTGATCAGATAAGCGTAGTAGGTCTTACTGTCATAAAGGTTTTGTCAATTAATAAAGTTTAGTGGTTAATATTTACCTTAACCTCTTGTTAATCTGAAATATCTTTCACACTTCCTGATCTGTGACTCTTGCTTCAAAAATATTTCTCAATCAGTGTCAAAAATGGAGGCACAAATAATGGTGGTGATGATCAAGGTGATGTCAATGCAAAAATAAATAAATAAACATATGAATAAATAGCAAGTATCAAGACAAGCACAAGTGTAAAAATTAACAAGACTGTCAAGAGATCAGCTGATTGATGATGCACAAAATAATTCAATATTAAATGGCAAATAAATACTGACAGTTTAATTCACAAAAGTGATCAATGTCACTATGGTTAATGGTGATGTTCAGAAAATGTCTTTCTTAAAGTTCATTCACACTCAAGTTCCTTGCTGTACGTAAAAATTTAAACAATTTTACCGACACATGTAAATGGAAGCCATGATGGTTGGAAAATTCTGTAGTTCGAACCCGATGATATTTAATGTCGCTCTATGTCGTGGCGGATCCAACAGGCACGTGATCACTTCCCGCCCCGGATACGTCACTGCGTAGCGGCTATTGGTGATGTCCAAGGTACATGGGCGCCATTTGTAAACGTTGGTTTTAATCACAACGAGAGTAAGATGGGTTCAATATCACCAATGCATTTATTCAGGTCATGTGTTGTTCACAAACAAACAAAAGGTTCTGTAAATAAAATATTTAACAAATAATTCACAGACAAACACACATACACAAACATAGCATAAAACACTGAATATGCTGCTCAGGGAAATAATTACATTTTCCTCATAACTTTCAAAGATCATAAAGTATTTCATCATGCATTATATTATATGCAAATTCATTACCATAAAATAATTCACTTTTCTCTATAAACATTTTCATTCATTGTATCCAAATGAAATTCTATTTACAACACAAATAGACATCACAATATAAATAAACTTCACTAGACACACTGTAATCTTACCAAATATATGAAATATGAACCTGATCTGTAAACCGGGTATTCCCTTCTCAGTCAGTCATAGCTATAATGATTTATCACAAAGTAAGTCTGACTGATTATTGACAAAATATATAAAACTCATGAAAAATAACTCTTTACTCAAATCTCATTCACATAACTTTCACACTGCATGCTCATAATTAATAATGTTAAAAATGTTAATAAACTGACCTGTTTAGTATATTGTCCAATGTCCATAAGGTCTACAAGTTATTTCAGAAAAGTCAAAACTGTAGAAATCAATAAATTATTCTAGAGTCAGTTAACACACTGCTCAATTCAAGGATCTTTTTGAAAGTGTCTAAAAATACTTCAGTAGTAAAATTCTTACCAGAGTCTCCAATCAAATACCTGGGTTCATCCATGCATGAATAGCATGCTTGACCAAATGGGATATACTATGGAAAGCCTTAGTGTAATAAATATATACAAACGCTCATTCTTAATACTAAGTATGGAAACACATTATGGACAAAAATTAAAAACAATAATTCAAATGGGTTTTATTAAGTAATACATTTATTGGTAAAAACACGCGGTCACAATATGTTTTCCTTTTTTACAGAGCAGGTCTGCTCGTGGGATGAGAAAAAGAAACATCATTTTATACCAATCTTCCACTGAAGTTTAAATACAACGAGATAAAAAGTGTAAGTGTCTTTCGTTTAATCGAAGATTCGGGGTACATATAGGTTTTGTCGTGTACGTCTGTCTGTCCCTATATCTGTATGTCTATTTGTTTGTCCAAAAACCTTTAACCTTGCCCATAATTCTTTAGCTACTAGAGTTTTGACTTTCATATTTTACATACGAGAGTCGTCCGTAAAGTTCCTGGACAAGCTAAGAATTTAATAAAAGCTGTGTCATTGCTATTTATTACTAGCATATTTCTAATCCATTACTAAATGTGAATTGAAAAATGTAAAATCTTTTTCAATTTCAAATGTTCAATTACATTTAAGCTTCATAATCAGACGTGGAATGGAGACCCCGAACACCGCAAAATTTTTATTACAAAATTACAAACTGTATTAATAACTTTTAAAATCAAGTTTGTACATGTATTTTATAAACTTCCGTGGAAATCTGGATGACTTTCACATGATGAGGTTGGCAGAAGTTATCAGGTCAAATTTGCAATATCTAAACGTTCAAAATTTTAAAATTGCTGAGGAATCAAAGTTAGTACTTATCCTGACGGATTGGATTGTTAACAAAATTTTTAAATAAGTGGAGCAGTGAGTAGAGAAAAAATTCTGCGTTGACATTCGATAAACACATACAGAGACCAATACATTTTGTAAACAATTGGGGAAAAATAATAAAAGAAGCCAAACATTAATATTCAAGTTGCATATAACATTTTCGGACAGAAGGTAGAGTTTACAGGATGACATTATTCCGAGATTGGAATGCTGTAAAAAAAAATGAATTTTGTAACGTGACTTGACCGTATATCCCCAAAAAAATGTTTTTACGCGGACAGAGGTTGGATGATTGCAGAATGAGAGACAGGCATTCAGCGAAATCCATAGAATATTTAAAATTCCGACGCCACTTGAAGGTTTGGGGTTTCCTATATTTAAAATTTTTATTATAAGTGATCAAATGTCGTTAAAATACAACTAGATAAAAAGTGGTAGACTTTGTCCTTATTTTTCAGAGTAAATTATATCATTATAACTCATATTTTCATTTTTTTTTTTTATTTTAACTGATTGCTTTGTGTTTGAGTACATGCATGGTGAATTTACTGACAACAACTCAGAGCTCAACTTTCAGTATTTCATTTTTTAAGATTTTTTTTTATTACATGAAATACCTTGATCAAGGTATTACCCTGATAAAGCTATATAGCTTTATTTAGCCGTTTACCTTTATCGGGTTATTGTGCTGGACCTGGTTCATGTTCTATCAAGCCTCTCTCTTTAATCTTCACTAAAATCTTAACTGTAGTGAAATAGAAGCATCAGAAGTGCTATGCAACAATATTTGTGAGTAGTGGTGTACATTAAAAAATCTTCATCTAAATTTATAAAGCATAAAAAGAGCATTTTAATCTTGCATTAATGTTTTTAAATATCTAGTATTACGTAAATTTCAGAATCGTAAATAATTATATTCACTAATAGGAGTGGGTCATTTCTCGTCTTACAGCTGATTTTATTTATATTTCATTTAAGATAACTGCTAATATTTTCAACTTAATATGCAAGCTAAACAATTGTATTCTTAAAATTCTCACTATCTCAAGTTTCAGAAACGTCTTTTCCGGAGCTTCGAAATAATTGTAAATCGTTTGAGACTGACTTGGACTATATAAGAGTGCCAAAGCAATTGATGCCCTACGTTTTGTTAATGTACATGATTACCGAGATAAAGCCCATTTCAAACCAAATCTTTTTCAAGATTCCTCAAAATACTTTTCATGTTATTCAAAATATATATCGGAATTTTTAAACATCTGAAAAAAAATATTTTGAAATTGAAACAAGAATACTTTTTGACAGCTACATGTAAGAGGGAATGAATATGAGACATTTTACCCGACTCTCCAAGAAAGGAAGAGCAGGATTTGACGATGTTAAGATGACTTCCATAATGCGATAATTATCTGTAATTTAACATGCAAATTTGATATCAGTAACAGTTTTAAATGGATTCACCGCCCCATTCCTTACATCTACCATATTGAACTTCTTAATCATTAAAGATTTAAAAAAAGGTCTATATAGTTTTGCACGAATATGTTTCGTATTTAATTGTACCTTTTTTTACTGTGTTGATGAGGTTTCATGATAAATTGTCATACAGATAAGAAAAAAAAGTTTGGTGCTTTTTTACACGCCAGTTAATCATTGTTAGACATTTATTCTTTTTTCAAACAATGACTATATGTTTTCTTTCTTCTCAAGAGCAGAACTGCTTGTGTGATAAGAAAGAGAAACATCATTTTATAGAAATCCTCCACTGAAGTTTAAATACAACGAAATTATAAGCGTTAGACAGTGTCTTTCGTTTATACCCACGTAATCAAAGATTTGACGTACATATAGGTTTTGTCGTGCACATGTGTCTGTGTCTCTATTTGTCTGTCTGTTTGTCCAAAAAAAATAAAGTTAAACCTTGCCCACAACTTCTTATCTGGTAAAGTAATGACTTCCTTGTTTCACATATGTATATCAAAAAAATTATCCTAGTCATAACTTTTGAACAGGTGGTGCTAGGGCGTAATTTTTCCAAATTGTATTTCTTGTGATTGTAGATTTTTTTAATCTATTCAAAATATTTTGAATGGCCATTTTTGTAAGCCTGTTAGTGTGATAAAAAAAAAACAACAACCAACCCTTTATGGGTTTTTATTTTGTATTATTCTGCAAGGCCGTAACTACCATTGAGGCAAGTGAGGCAAATGCCTCACTAAATTTTTAGAGTTTTCTGAAAAGTGAAAATTTTTTACACTGAACTTATGAACTATGTCTGTCTTCATGCTAAATTAATACTTCCACTTTTGTTTCAATATCTCTAAATCGTTCACCCCACCGCACCAGGTGCCTCATTTTCATTTAGATCGCATGTAAATTATAATTCAAAATGTGTGTTTATTAAGATTGTTTGATTGTTTAACCCTTCTAAAAATTTTCCCTTCATATTGAGACATTACTACTTGCTGGTGGAGGGCCGCTTCAAGTTTTAAATTTGTATTGAAAAAGGCTTTCAGATTCTCTGAAAATGATTGAACAGTGAGATATCTTTTTTGTGTCATCACTTATTGTGACATAAGAACTCAGTTTTAACGATCTCATCTGGAGGATCCGTCTCTACATCTCACAGTGCGATTCGAACCCGTGATGTCAGAATCAACTCCGTAGTCTGCAACTCTAACCACTATAACATGTGGACGACAGTTCAAAATGTACACAATTTTTAAGAATAAAATCTTTTTTCTAAAAATGTTTAAGGATACCTCTCTCTCCTTGTCAGACCCCCCAATTTTCTCTGGTCATCACGTACTACCCTTGCCCCGTGTGGGACTAGAATGCACCGCACCCTTGCCTCACTAAAAATTTGAGCCTAGTTACTGCCTTGTTCTGCATTCTAATCAAAATATGTAATTTTCGATTGCTAGTCATACGTTTCATGGATTGGCACAATTGTTTTAAACTCCTCCAAGGATTAACTTGCGTACCTTATATTTTATGCATATTTACAAGTAATCTGAGGATGTCTACCGCATTTAATTTCTAGTCAGTCTCAGGGGGGTCACACTTGTACCTTTCATGCACCTATGTATATGTTTTATCCTGTTTTGTTTAATATCAGGTGATCCCCCTTTATGGTTTGTTATAAAAGTAACAGTTGAATGACATACACTGTTTATGTACTCGTTATCGACAAAAACTGCATACCTGTGTTTGGTTAATTTTTATTGTACTATCGAGCTGATATTTCTCAAAGGATGCATAAATACATATTTTGTCCACCAGTTTCTAAGTTGTTTACAACTGAAACATTATATTTTGTTCGTAGATTTATGTTACCTTTAATTTATTTGCCTATAGCATAACAAAAGAAACAAGGAACATTTAATCATATCCATGACTATTTCAAAATATGGTGATCTTTGAAAGTCCACTTTAAATGGAAAATATTCTATATACCCTTTTTTCAAGAGCTTGAAAAAGGGATAATTTACCACTTAGCATTGGTATTAGAACAATTCATTATTTACAATTAAACTTTTTTTTTTGTTCACAACGATTTTATGGCCAAATTGCCATTAATATTGAATTAGATACGTACAACATATAGGAAGAAATCGAGGGTTAGCATGCGTATCTCTTCCTTCATTTTGAAAAAAAAAAATAGGGGAAAGGCTGAAAACCTCATGTATGACAACAAAGGCTGAATATCATATGAAATATAGCAAATAGAATATATTTAGTTCCTTGTGACTTATTAGTTCACCAGTTTATTGAATGCCTGCTTGAAATTCTCATAATGTATATATGCAGTACAGTAGCAAAAACGGGCCAATGATAACGGACTGAATTTTCCTGCCTTGTCATGACAACGGACATAAATTATCTTATTATACCTAACTATAAATATTCTACACAACGTGTTTTCTGATTGGTTCTAGTTCATCACATGATCAGGCCGTAAAACTTCATATTTCCCGGTCGTCGGCGCTTTTCATCATATTCCACCTCTTCTGATACTTAGTGCATTTCCTGCAATAATTATCGTTCATTAAAAGAAAACTCCCGG